ACTGCTCTTCTGTCCGCGTTCCTGGCTTTTTATCCCCTTTCTCCTGCTCTTCTGGCCTGCTACTCTGGGCGGGCCTGAGTTGCCTCTCCTCACCTAATCCCTTCGGCTGACTGCTCTTCTCTCTGGCTTCCTGGCTTTTAACCCCCTTTCTCCTGCTCTTCCCGCTTGCTACTTTGGGCGTCCCTGAGTTGTCTCTCCTCACCTGTAACCCTGGGGCTTACTGCTCTTCTGTCCAGGTTCCTGGCTTTTTCTCAGAGACATAGTGCTCATAATAAATAAAACCTTTATAGACAATAAAAACAATTTGGGGCATTTAATAATGAGGAATAAAAGTCTTCATTTTTTTTCTAATGTATTTCAGTACAGCCCAAATTGTTATAATTAAACTTCTTTTATATTTTTTGGCACATTTATGAGTGTAAATTCTATAACTTACTGAATTTGCTCTAAATTTAAAAACACTAAAGCTTGAAAAAAATCAATTTTCAAAAATTGGTAGCTTCAGGACTAAGTATAGTTCATTGAAAAAAATCAATCCGAATTACCAACTGTGGTGGTTAAGTCTGTGTGTCAACTTGGCTCGGCCTGGTTGAGTGGCTAGGCAGCTGAGTGTAGTTATTCCCCATGGTAAGATTGGTAATTAACTCCATGGTGGAATCTATTGGAGCAGCTGAGTAGCTCCTTTGGGTATGTGGTCTGGTTCCTGTATATAAGAACAGCTTTGGAAATGATCTCTAGCTTATGGCATGCTTGAACCCTGCATGTAGCCGTGTCATTGTTCAGCAGCCTGCCATGCTCTGCTGACCTTTGGACTTTTACTGGGACTTGAATTAATGGCCTGTCTTGTGATTTGGTAACATCGGGACTGTGCCATTTTATTTGTTGACCTTGGGCTTGGTAGCTTCAGCAGCCAGTAGCTGTCTGAGTAAAGAGATGCCTCTAGCTTCAGTGGGCCAGGAGCAAGAGGCAGAGCTAAAACCCAAAGTCAAGGGGCTTTCACCCAGCCCCTAGAGCCTGGCACTTTGAACTCAGACTTCTAGCCTCCCAAATTGTAAGAGAATAAACTCCTGTTTCTTCAAGCCATCATATTTGTGCTATATTCTTGTCAGAGCAGCCCTAGGTAACCAGAACACCAAGCTAAGTGACCAAACAATAAAAAATCCAGTTTATTTTGTATTTATTATGTATAAATATATATTCCTTGTCTAAAATAACTCATTATCACATTACAGGCTTTGGGCATAGAGATAAAGATATTTAATGAGCCATAAATGAACATAAAAATTTCATGAACCAGTTCTACATAACACTTACTTACCTGGCCTATTTGCAAATGAATTTCCTTTATCGCATTTGACAAGGATTCTATAATTTCCTTTATGTGAATGAGATGAGTTTCTTCAATATCTTGAAATTTCTAAGCAGAAATATAAAAGTTATATACAGACTCAATATGTACATATATATATAACCTGGTATCAAAAGAGGTTGCAGAAATCACCTCATATAACTAAACAAATTTGGCCAGTTACTATTATTATATAATGTTTAACAACACTTCTATGTAAATCAGTCTAACAGAAATACTAAAATACAGTACTGAGAAAATAACTGTTATGGTATTTCTCAGGCAAATATGAACTTTCTCAGAGCTTGAAGATACACAAGTTAAAATTTTTCATTCTGGTCAGAAAATGAGAATGAGACTCAGAATGTGACAGTGTCACAAAAGTCAAGAAAAAAGTATTGTAAAACTGAAAAATATTTAGTTAGTAGAGTAAAATCTATGGTTTACTTCTGAAGGCTTTACAGTTTAATTCATAGATTCAAAAATATCTTCCTAATCCCTGAAATGTTAATACATAATCTCCAAAAGTGGTAGTCCGTAATCAGAGAAATTTGGGGAAACCTGTAAAATCGATCAAAGAAATTTGAGAAAGCCAGTATTTTGGACCTCAGCAAATCTCAACCAAAAGTGGATATCGATCAGAATCACCTGAGGAATGTTTTCAAACTACAAAACACACAGAGCTTAGACTACACTACTTGGAGAATAGGGGTGGAAGCAGTAAGAACGTTGTTTGAAAAAAATCCCAAGTTATTCTGATATTCCCCAGGAAGTAAACTACTGCTAGCCGTGGCTTCACAATAAATATATTAAAAGCTCTGAGAAATACTAAAATAATGAAACTTGTTTTACTTTGCTTAATCTAGTGTTCTCTAAATTTCCTTGACCATACAGCTCTGGTGGCTTAGTCCCTAAGGCAGTGAGTTTGGTTTGGTTTTATTTGGCGGATAGCCACAGAAGTGAGTTCAAGTTCAGACCTGAAGGGCAGCTAGGAGTCATAGTCTCAGGGGTTTCACAGGCTCTATGAGAGTAGCAAACCTGTTTCCGCGCCCCCCCCCCCAATGATTTTGAGTTTTGTTCCACATTGTTCTCCCAACTTATCCAGGATCTCCTACACAGATCCCCCTCTGAGTGGTTGACAGAGGTAGCCAGGCACCATCTAGTTCTTCTGGTCTCATGGTCATATAGACTAAAGATTGCAGGGAGCTCTGGTAGCATAGTGCCTGAGGCACTTGACTGCTAACTAGAAGGCTGCCGGTTCAAATCCACCATCCACTCCTCGGAAGGAAGGTTGGGCAAACCTACTTCTACAGTGATACTGCCTCGGAAACCCAAGGAGGGGTCGCTATGAGTCGGGGCCGACTTGATGGCACGTAACAACAACAATAACCAGTCCCTTGGACTAATTATAAAAAAAGTTTTTTAAAACAGAAGGCTTGTCACTAGTTAATTTTGACCAAGTTGATCAGAATGCCATGAAAATACCAATATCTCAAAAGCCTGAATTAGTTTCAAGAATTAAGGAATATGCAGCAGAAGCATGATTCTATTCTAAATTTATATTATAAGTAGTGGCTCTCAGCTTAAAATACAGCAAGTTAATGAAAGAATATATTTTCCCACAGATGACCAGTGGCCAACAAATTGGTATCAATTCATGGTGACCCCATGTGTTACAGAGTAGAGCTGCACTCCATATGGTTTCCCTAAGTTTTACTTTAGTTCAGGGAAAAAAAGTGCAATCTGTCAGCAACCAGAGATATATAAAAACTCTATAATTCTAAAATTCCTTCATTTGGGGGTGTTGTTGCTCAGCAAATCTCCACGTTTCCATAAACTATCCATATAACTGCTTTAAAATAAAATCTTCAGATTCTGTTTCAAGTGTTTGTATTTTTCAAATTTCCCATTAACTAATGGTAAGAAAAAGCATGAGCACAAAGCGAAGTCATGATTTTAATCATTCTTATTCCCAATCTTACCGAAATAAATCAAAATACTCCATGTAAATTCTAACTTTTTTAACCCAATTTCTTTTTCCACTAGAAAGCATTAGGACTAGTCACCCAAATTAGGTTCTCAGTAGACTGACAGGCCCTTACTGGGATTAAGTCAATCTGCTTGGCCTGAAACAAAAGGAAACGGGAGAAGTAAAAGGATTCTTTGCACTTCAAAACCCAAATGAAAGTCTACTTTCTATTAGGAAAAAATAGTTAACCTATTCTGCTGTACATGTGTCTTGTGTGTATCAAAGGGAGAGCAGAACACAAGAGAACATGAGAGAGAAAAAATAAGCGCACATTACCAAGGTACACCAATACTACCACCTTTGTTTAAAAGCAACATGGTCGTACATCTGCTCAAAAAATGTTCCCATGTTGAAAACAGCAGGATGAACAAGTTAAAAGGCAATTTTGAAGGAAAAAAATAAAATAATGAAGAAACAAAGTATTAAGAGAAAAAAAGATGGGGACAGATAAGTCATTAAGGATACTTTTATAAATTAACAAAAAATCAAAACAAACTCTAGCAAATTATATTTGCTCCTTTATTTCCAAATTAAATAATTATTTCCTTTGATAGCAACTAATCATTTTAATGCTGAAATCAACAAATTATTAAGGTGTCTTATAAATAAATGTTCCATATAGCGCCTAAGGCATTTTTGACTGCTAACCAGAAGGCTGGTGGTTCAAACCTACCAGCCACTCTCCAGGAAGAAGATTGGGCAATCCAGTTCTGTAGTGATATCACCTCGGTAACCCAAGGAGGGGCCGTTACGAGTTGGATCCGACTTGACTGCACTGAGTTTGGTTTTGGTTTTGGAATGATTTAAAAGCACTTGCTGAAGTCTACAATGACCTCAGTTGCTAAAGAGATTGAAAGTTTTTATCTCATTAGACTTGAAGCAGTATTTATTATAACTAACTAAACTATTCTCTTGAAACATCTTTCTCAGCTTTTAGGACATTACTCTTCCCACTTTTCTTCCTTTGCTGGCTTCTCCTACTCAATTCTCAGTATCTCTTTCTCTACCAAACTCTCAATGATGACTCAGAACTTGGGCCCTTTCTAGTCTACACTCCATGCAAAAGTGATCTTGTGGCAGCTTTGTATACTGACAACATCCTAGTTATCCAAAACCTTTGGGACCAAGTGTGCTTTGAAATTAAATGACATGTTTTTGGATTTTCTTAATAAAGATGATATGGTGTCATTACTATATATTTCATACTACTAGCAAAATCTACAGTGACAACTGTTTATCAAATATATTAATATCTCTAACAGAAAACATGTATGTATGTGTGCATATACCTAAGTGTATACATATATGTATGTGTGTATAAGTGTATATATATGTGTGCATGTATGTACATCTTTTAAAACTCCCTGCTGTAGGTAGCATTTAGAGTATAACTAACTATCTCACTGCTGTGGAGTCGAATCCAACTCACAGCAATCGCTCCTTGGGTTTCTGAGGCACTGTCACTATGGAAGAAGATTGCCCAACCTTCCTTCTGAGGAGTGGCTGGTGGGTTGAACCACCAGCCTTCTGGTTAGCAGTCAAATACCTTAGGCACTATGCCACCAGAGTTCCAATTTACAGTAAAGGTGGAAAAAAAACTCAATACTCACTGCCATTGAGTCAATTCTGACTCATAGCAACCCCCACTGGGTTTCGAAGGTAGTAAATCTTTATGGAATTAGATTGCCCCATCTTCCTTCCATGGAATGGCCAATAGGTTTGAACTGGCACCCTTCTGGCTAGCAGTCAAATGCCTTAGACACTATATATACCACCAGAGTTCCTTATAGGTGGGGAAGCATGCTTAAATATAAAATTATGTGCTTACATATAAAATTATAAATTATAATATATGTTAGAACAACAGGCTTTTATGAAACAGAGTAATAGAGGTGACCTATTTGAATTAGGGAGTCAGGGAGGGCCTTTTTGGAAAAGTGAGATTTAATATTCAAACATGAAGAATGAGTAAGAGAGTAAAGGACAAAAGAGTCCCGGGCACTGGGGACCACAGGTATGAAGGCCTAAAGCTGTAAAACAGCAGTCACATTCTGAAAAGTTAAAACAAAAATTGCTACTGAAACTGTGCAAGGGGAAATGGTATTGAAAAATAAGACTGAAGACATCAGCAGTTACTAGAGCTTATAGGCTCTAGTAGGGATTTCAGTTTTCTTCTAAGAGCAATAGGAAGCTATTAAAGTTTTAGGCAGGGATGTCCCATGATCTGACCTGTATTTTAGAAAGATTTTTCTGGCAGCTGTGTGAAGAATGGATTATAGTGAAGCCAAAGGATAATCAAGAGTCTAGTTTATAGTAGAAACTAGTAGGATAAATGAAATGATGTGGGCCAATGTAATGGCCTTGGAGATAGAAAGAAGTGAATGCATTTGGAAAGGTTCTGGTTTGTAAGTTTATGTAGGTAGAGGTAAGGGAAAGATTAGATGAAGAACCAGTTTAGTTTGAGGGGTTGAGCAGGAGTCAGATGTTCAATTTTGAACATCTTGATTTTGATATGCCTATGAGATACTAAAATGAAGCCATCAAATGGGAAATTTCTGCTGGAAGTGATGTTGGTAAGAATATATGTCCACAGTCCTTTATCATCCACAATTCTGAATCCCACAAGCTCTGAAAACTGAAAGATTTTCAAAATTTTTTTATTCTATAATTAATTTGGTAGAAAAACTTGACCTGAATTGATATGAGCCTATTTAATAGTCTATCCAATTTAGTCAGGTGAGGAAATATATACATACATACATACACATACACATACATACACATACACACTCGTTACTTATCAACAGGTGTAGGTTCCAAAGACCAGGTTGTTATGAGCAAATGGAAGATGGCTACACCATTATATAACTACTAAATTTCATAATTACTTAACTATCAAATTATATAATTACATAACTGCCAAGTCACTGAGAATCCTGGCCCAGCCTAGCTGACATATACCCTTAACCATCATAGTCAGTATTACTCTTGCCTCTCTTCTCAGCATTTGTTATTCCTAGATGAATATCATTAATGTACTTTTTTGATTCTCTAGTGCCATTCTAACACAAATTACCACAAATGGATGACTTCAACAAACAAGGATTTATTCTCTTACAGTTTAGGAGGCTAGAAGTCTAAGTTTTAAGTGCCAGCTCCAGGGGCTGGGTGAAGGCCCCTCAACCTTGGGCTTCAGTTCTGCTTCTTGCTCCCATTCCACTGGAACTGGTGGCATCTCTTAACTCAGGCAGCTGGTGGCTGCTGAGGCTGACAAACCCAAGGTCAACAAGTAAAATGGCACAGTCCCAAGATTAGCAGACAACATGGTAGGCCACTCACTGATGACTCAGTCAAATACAGGATCCAAATGTGCCAAAAAGCTCAAGACCTTTGTCAAAGCATCTTTTTACATACTGGAAGCAGACGATATTCCTAAGGCAGCTACTCAGCTGCTCAGAATAGATTCCACCATGGAGATGATTACCAGTCTCATTATGGGGAATAACTACATTCAGTTGCCCAGCCACTCAAAACTAGATCCAGCCAAGTTGATGCATAACTTTAACTACCACATGCACATAACAGTTGGATGGTCGACTTTTCACTATTGTCATAAATGTGAAATGTCGGAAAATAAGACAGTTGATAAATGAGTAGATGTGTGTGTACACACACACACACACACACACACAAGTACATCTATGTACACATATATGCACCCAGCATGTAGCATAGTACCTAAGCATGGCAGGTAAACATAAAGGGATGCATACATACTAGCGTGCAAGCTTTTTTATTTCTGAAGTTAGACCCATAAAATCCTTCTTTAATTCAGTAAATTCTGAGTGCCTACCATGTGCTACAACTGTCTTAAGCACTTAGGTGATAGCAGTAACCAAACAACCAAAAATCCCTGCCCTCATATAATTTACATTTTATTACAGAAAGAGAGACAACAAAGAAATATGAGTAAAAGACTCAGTGTGTGCTTTACCCAGCCTCTCGCCCCTTAGCCACAAGGACTAACAACATTTCAAATAAGGGTTCCCCTAGCAACCTCAGTGCAAGAGTGATGATGTGAAATAGAGCTACAGCTGACCCATGATGAACATACAGCGTGAGAAACAAACTCTTAATGGTATAAGCCAGTGAAGTTTTGGGGGAGTCCTTTATCTTATCTAGTCTATCCTGACTGATTCAGTATATAAAATATATGGTATGTCAGACAATGGGAATTACTAAGGATAAGAAAAAGTAATAAAAGAGGACAAGAAGGTGAAGGTAGGAATTTAGGGATGATCCATAAGAGACACATATCATAAACCTAGGCCTTTAATTAAAGCTGTAAGAATACCAAATCTACTATAATTATCCCAGGTTTATGAGTTTTACTGAGTCACTTCCAGTTTTAGTCTGAAGCAAAAGCCAATTTCAAAGCCTGTACATAAGGCTGACAACCAGCATTGTCCTCACCATCATCTATCCCACGCCCTCACTCTTCCCAGTTATCTTCAAACAGCCTCTTTTGATCTACCTGAACAATCTTTAACAACATTATAATTTCTGTACCTTGGTCCTCAACCTCAAAATAAGATATGTATTTTTTAAATAATATTATTTTATGTTAAATGCTACTAACACTGAGATTATGCATTTTCACATTTTTAATATAAAAAAACTATTATTTAATCAGTATATACAAATATAAATATGCAGTTTCTCTAAATTATAAAACCTATATTTAGAAATGAAATTTAAAAATACCAACCTGAGCTGTTTCTGTCATTTTCTGTTCAAAATCAGCTTTTGCTAATGCATATTTTTCCACATAGAGTTTGTATGTATCTGTAGCTTTTTTAGATTTAACAGCTGCCTGAAATAAAACAAAAACATTTTTAACTATATAATGATCTTTTTTCTTTCCTGATATAAGTTAATATGAAATAAGAAATTGAAATACCTTTTAAGGGGATGAGACCTTATACAGTTCAATATAACACATAATTAATTTTAATACCTTTTCTTAAATCCTCCTTAGACTTTTTTTGTTGTTACAGTCACAAAGTAATTAAGGAATTAAATGTTGGTTCTCCTTTCTGTCTTATTGAAAATGCTTTGAAAGGTTAAAATATTCACATTTTATAAACAAGAATAAGATCGTATGACCACATTACAATGGTAAAGAGTTACTAAACATGTGTTAAACTACCATTAAAAAGAAATTTCCTGACAATGTACCAAAGTGTAACCATCAGAACATGCTGACACTCCTTTCTCCATTTATCAGTCTTGTCCCCTTCGCCCCATATATACATATAGCATTTAATGTGATCAATGACTATAAAGCCAATTCTAACTTCAAGAAAAATCAGTTTTCCTTGAGGTTCTCCACTTTCCATTATGTTCCAATAAATCTATAAACTTTCTTTTAATCTTTCTCTTTTTTTTTCAGATTTCTATCTAAAAACATATTACTGCATTATTACAGTTCTAGTTTTATCAGTTACTCATTCAATAAAAATTTAATAACATTAAATATTACGCAGTGACAAACATGAAGACAGATTGTTGTTGTTATTATGTGCCATCGAGTCTGACTCGACTCATAGCAACCCCTCCTTAGGTTTCCAAGGCAGTATCACTACAGAAGTAGATTGCCCAACCTTGGTTCTGAGGAGTGGCTGGTAGGTTTGAACCCCAGCCTTCTGGTTAGCAGGCAAGTGCCTTAGGCACTATACTACCAGAGCTCCTAAAGATAGATTAGATAGGGATTTTTCTCCTCAGAGACCTTAGAAAAGATATAAAACCTGTAAATAAACAGCTAGTTAGAAATTAGTGGATAGTGAACAGCCACAGAAGTCCAAATAAATTTTACAGAAGAATAAATTCTATGGAAGACATTCAGGGAAATGAAATATCATACCTAGCTTGTGGGTTGGGACAGACAGATGACTATTAAGAAACATGACTAGCCCCAAAGGATTAATCAATTTGGACACAGGAAGACTGGGGGTGGACATAGTGTAAATTAGAGTGTCATAATATGAAAGAAAGAGAAGCTCGAGGATTTCAGGATATATAGGTAAGAGGTAAAAGATGATCTTTAAGAGTGAGGTAGAGGACAGTAGGGTTAGAAATTTAAGAAGAATGAAAAAAGTTCAAAACAATGGTAATAGAAGACGCAACAAGAAATAACTAGATAATTAAAAGAACTGCTAAGTGCTTTGAGGGCCAAGTAAAGCTAAAACAAAATTTGTAGTAAAGCAAATCAGTAACAATATGTAATTATCTCCAGGTATGTTCAACAGTTTAAGAGCAAGAATCGGAAAAAGCTGCGTTTACCCAGAGGTTTTGGAATTGGCAAGAGATACAATAATTTTACTCTCTAAAAAGGCAACGTGGTACTATTTCTAAAAAATAACTACATATATTCTAATAAGTGTATTTATTATATGCTTTCCTGCCTTTTTCTGTAACCCCTTATCACAACCAGCAAGTTTCATTAAAAATCATGGCTACAGAGCATAGGCTCCATAAAACCTCTCCAAAGTTAGGTTTTTCATATGCTGCTTTTGTGTTATCGTTGAGATTATACACAGCAAAAATATACACCAATTCAAGTTCCTACTTGTATAATTCTATATGTACACTTCTACAATGTGTGCAGTGACAATGATTACATTCTTTCAGTTGTGCAACCATTCTCACCCTGTTTCTGACTTGTTCCTCCCCCATTAAAATAAACTCAAAGCCGCCTATAATTCCAATCTATCTTTCAAGTTGCTACTGTCAATATGATGCACATAGCTACTGTGCTGAGCTATCTGATGCATATAGCTAAATCTTAAAAGAACATAATGCTCTCGATAGTAGACACGTCTTAACTCCAGTAAAGGGAAAGGCAAATCACAATATGGACAAAGTCAGGATAATGTAACCAAGGCAAAAGAGACACAGAAAGGTACATAAAAATAATGGATAATTCTAGCAATTTAACCATTTATTTAACCATTTAACCATTTCAGGAGGTAGCACATGATCAAGAACCAATGAGATTGAAGGAAGATGTACAAGTTGCACTGAAGGAATTAGTGAAAAACAAGGCTCTAGGAATGGTCGGAACACCTACTGAGATGTGTCAACAAATAAATGTAGCAGTGGAGGTGGTTACTTGTTTATGCCAAGAAATCTGGAAGACAGCTACTGGCCAACCAACTTCAAGAGATTGATATTTGTGCCCATTCCAAGAAAAGGTGATCCAACAGAATGTGGAAATTATTGAACAGTATCATTAATACAGGTGTAGTGGGTAAGGCATTTGGCTAACAACCAGAATGTCAGTGGTTCAAACCCACTGGCTGCTCCACAGAAGGAAGAAGGGACAATCTACTTCCATAAAGATTTACAGCCTCAGAAATCCAGTGGAGGTCACTGTGAGTTAGAATCGACTCAATGGCAGTGAGTCTGATTTTCAGTTTTTTGTTTTATCATTAATATCACATGCAAGTAAAGTTTTCCTGAAGATAATTCAAAAACAGTTGCAGCAATATATTCACAGGGAACTTCTAGAAATTCAAACTGGATTCAGAAGACATGGAATGACAAATACCATTGCTGACATCAGATGGATCTTGGCTCAAAGCAAATACCAGAAAGATGTTTACCTATATTTTACTGATTACGCAAAGGCATTCGACTGTGTGGATCATAACAAATTATACATAACATTGCTAAGAAGAATTACTTGTACTCATGAACAACATGTACATAGACCAAGGGGCTGTCATTGGAACAGAACAAGTGGATACTGCATGATTTAATATTATGAAAGGTGTGTGTCAGGTGTGTGTAGCCTTTGACCATACTCACTCAATCTGTATGCTGAACAAATAATCCATGAAGGTAGACCATATGAAGAAGAACACAACATCACGATCAGAGGCAGACTCATTAATAACCTGTGATATGCAGATTATACAGCCTTACTTACTGAAAGTAAAGACGACTTGAAGCACTTACTAATGAAGATCAAAGACTAGTATTCAGTATAGATTATACCTCAAAATAAAGAAAACAGAAATCCTCACAACTGGATCAATAAGCAGTATCACAATAAATAGAGAAAAGACCGAAGGTCAAGGATTTTATTTCACATCCACAATTAATGCCCATTGGAACAGCCGTCAAGAAATCAGATCTTGGAGTTCCAGTAAGATGGCAGAATAGGCAGAAAGACTGCACAAATCCTCTTCAACAAAGAAAAGGGGAACCAATTAACACAGATACAGAAGATAATCCTGAAGCCCTGAACTTTGAAGGGAAGGATACACAAGTGGACTAAATTCCAACTAGTAGAAGAATTTGCATGAAAACACCAAAAAACAAAGACATACGGAGCTGCAGTCTGGCAGCGATTCTGATGGGACACAGACACCTTGGATATTACCAAGTGATATTAGGACCTAAAAATCAGCCCTGCTAGCCAGAGACTGCACGAAGGACTGGTCAATAAAAGGGAAAGTAGCAAAGAGGAAAGCAGGCTGAGCTGTGGACTTTTGTCTATTCAGAGGGCACAGCCATTTTGAATATTTACAACTGATTTGCCATTTTGGATATTTAAAGCGAAAGCATTCTCCCAGATTCCAGTTGCAGGGAACCACAAGGACATTCTGGACACCAATGACTCCAAAGATGTGATATTCCCTTTGTTACTCTTATACCCCTTACCCCCCTTCTGGGCCTGCAGGAATTCTATCCCAGTCTGTGTGCTCGGAGGCAGCCTGGGTGCCCTGCCCCACTCTGCCCAGATTTTTTTTTCCTTTTTTTTCAGTTTGTTTGTTTTTGTCTGTTTTAAAATTATTATTATTGTTATTTTATCTTTTTTATTATGATTGTTTATTCTTCCCTTCCCAGGTTCTAGTTTTCAGCAACTTTTTCTCTCTTCCCTGCTCCTGGTTCCCATTTTTTTTCTTTCTCATGGTTAACCCCATTCCTTGTTTTCCTTTTTGCATTTTTCCCATTTTTTTCTTCATTATTCTCCTGCTCTACCTTTTTTCTCTTATTGCCCTCTTCCCAGATATGGGTTTTTTCTTTTCTTTTTACTTTTTTGGGTGATAGTTCCTGTGTGTTTATGTGGTATCTTTTGGTCCGCTTCCTTTTACTTTTTTGGTGGTTTTTGACTGTTGTTTTTCTCTCAGTGGCAGACAGCAACCATGGCATATGACACAACAACACCTGCGCCTCCTGCAGCTCCACTAACTGAGTGAGAGGCACTACCTCCTTCTCCACCAGTTGGTCAATGATAAATGACCACCAAGAAGAGCCTGACACACCCTTACTGCTCTTCATGAACAGTTAACGGAGATCTAAATACAACATCACAATGTCTCGGAGACAACAGACCATCACAGTCCACACAAAGAGCAAGATAAAGTGGTAGAAACAAGGGAGCAGGATGCAGGCACAGAACACATCCCTGAAGAAGCAGTATTGGAATTCCCTGATAAGGAATTCAAAAGAATTATATTTAGGTATCTTCAAAGGATTGAAACACAGATCAAAGAAAACTGACAAAATTAAGAAAAACACAGACAAAACCCCAGAACAATTCTGGAAGAAAATACAAGAACAAAATGACAAAATAAATGAAAAATTAGAAATGATACAAAATCTACAGACAGAAATCCATAAGACTAATACTAAATTTTCAGAAATAGGTAACATATTGTAAGGGCAAAGGAGTAGAACTGAACCAATGGAAGACAGAATTAATGAGACTGAAGACAAATACCTGAATACTTCTTTGGAAAGGGATCAATCAGAAAAAAAGATCAAAACAAAATGAAGAAACCCTGAAGTTCTTGTGGGATACCG